TGTTTACGACTTCCTTTTGTGGCGAATTTTTGTCTGCTATGTATTGCACACACTCTTTCAGGACGTACTCGAAGACTTGAGCATTCCTGGCAGGCGTTTCTCATTGTATCTTGGTCACGATACTGGTCCGGCTAACTCCCTCACTGATACTCTCCAGTTGAAGTGTAAGCACGCTTCATGCGTATCTGTTTGACTGTCGTTTTCAGGGATGGATTCTGGTAACGCCTGTGCAAAGTATTGGCCTCCATTTGGAACCGCGTTGATATTGGAGATCTACTCTGACAATCAAGCTCGCTGGATCTATAACGGTCGTGTGACTTCCGTCGAAGCCATCGAGGAATGTCGCGGCAAGTAAGCTACTTCCCATTGAGATGCAAGTGAATGTTGTTCATTTGGGTTGATCGAGTGAATTCGTTCGAGTGTGATTCATCGTGATATGTTTCGGACAGTTTGCTATGATGTCTATTACAGGTCTCTCTGCAATTACGAGTCGCTATACGAGTATCTCACGACTGTTGTGCCCAACAAGTTTGAGTGCAAGGGTATCCCTGAACCGACTCGTGGTGGGAGCCTCCGTGGATAGATATTTTACTACTGAACTTTTTTTACTACAACTCCGAAGAAATTTTGGGTGTTCACCTGTTCCTATATGCTGCCTTTTCGGGCGGTTTTCTGTGCGATAGACGTTTATGTAGTTACTTTCCTATGTACGGACTTCTCAAGAAGTGTTCGAGACTTACGACTGAATGTTGTGTTCAATCAAGTTCCGGGTTGCTCTTCCTTCCTCACCGGAACACAACCATACTCTAATGAGGGAGACTTGATCAAGCAATCAAGTGTGGGATGGCCATAGCATTTGAAACACTTCGAAGTCGTGTATGTAACTGTGAGTTGCGAGTAGTTTCTCGCTCTTTCTCCTTCTGCTCACGGGCCTTTTCTAAGCGGTTCGTTATCTCATAATCGGAGATCTACATCAAGAGAGCCTGCAGCGGATCTCGAAAGTTAAAATACCGTCACTTTCTTAG